ACTCCGGCAGTTGTATGAGCGTAAGGCTGACACTGCACTATAGTTCACAACCCCGGCGCTCTTCCAGAGCCTCGTTACTTTGATGAGGCATTGTTCACTGGGCCGGACTTGACCGTTGTTTTCGAGAACTCATTTTCCAATTGGACAACCGAAAGTGGCGAGCTCTTCAAGGCGACGGGTTCATATGATCGCGAAAAGCTTGCGCTGCTTGTGCACTCCACACCGGATCTGTCGATTCTTGAGACGGCTAGTACGCTATTGCAATTACTAGCCGTAGGCCGCGGCATCTGGTTGACAGGTAGCTCGAACTATACCGAGCTCGACGGTGTGCTACCTGCGTTTATCGAAGGCTTGGATGCGCTGTTAGGTTGAGGGTCACAGCGTTGGAACTAAATACGGTAGATATTAGGTCATCGATCGCTAAATCCACGCAAGACACCCACGTCTTCGACAGTTGTAGTTTCCGTGTCAGTCTCAACTACTTCATCGCCTACGAACACTTATGCGGCAAGCCCTGATCACTTGACTGCACTGTCTATAGACCTGGGGCTGAACGGCCCTGATCTTCGGATTGAAGCTGGCATGCAGAAGGAAAGGATCTTCTGGTCACGACTGCTTCGTAATACCATGGCTTTCTCAAAAGCGAGTCGGCTAATGCGCCGTGACGAGGCGTGTCAAGGGCGGTCCGCGATGTAAGAAGTCCTTCCGTGACACAAGCGGTCCGCCACTCCGTCGGTTGAATCCGAGGAAAGCTTACGAGGAATTATCCCAGCTACACAATGCCGTCTTCAAACAAGCAACGATCATCGAAAAGTCCGCCTTCAAATTTTCGACTACCAAGTATTCCATCCGGTTGGCTCTAATATTACCCCGAGAGCTACCCTGTTTGCCGCCTTAGGCGGCAGATCTAGCTCACTCAACCCCTGTCCATTTCCCCGGATCAAACAAACAAGCCTTTCGTCCTGCACTAGAGCTGCATACACACTTTATCTCAACCTTGGCCTTCATTTCGAAATTCAATCTCTGCTGCGTACCGCGTCGGCCCATGTCTATTTGTGCATCTTCCCAAGCGATGCTCCAGGCTTCGATATTGACACTTTCCTTGATGTATGTCATCCTTGGATGAGCACCGGAGTTACTTCGCGACGGGATGGAGACCAAGTACCGGCGGCTCTGCAATGACATACAATGAGCGTGCTGCATGGATAGGTGTAGAGGGCCGAAGTCGTGCCGCCATGACTGCTACCTCGCGGACTGTCGCGCTTCTCCGCATCATCCTTCTAACCTTCGCTTACAGAGTGCTGTGCGGGTTTCTCGTTGCACGTGAACTTCTCTAGCTCCATTCGAAGGATGCTTCCGTTGCGCTTCCGATCGGTTGGGTCTGGAAGCGAGATGCCAACTTTCGGATCACACCACAAATAACACGAGGTTAACAACACGAAGGAAACCTGATTCAAAATAACTCTTGAAACATATGGCTATTTACAGCCATTCGTCCTGCGAGTTCGCTGGGCCCTCACAAGTAGAGAAAAAGACACGATGAGACGACGCCATTGCGCGTGATCAGCCTCGCTAAATGACGACATCGATATGTGGGACTCACCTACCTATATTGGTAAGAGCTCTCGTAAACCACGCATACTGGCTTGTAGGGATGTCAAAAATATACATCCAGTAGACAGCGTAGCGGAGTCTATTCGCCTTGTGCTAATGTTTCAGTTACACAGAGTGGATCCCAATATATGCGGCAGGACCCGACTACCGAATACGGAAACTGAATTGGCATAATCGCAACCACACGAACGACTTTCGATACTCTTAGAGTCTCGTATCGCACGCCGATACGGTGGATGTACCGCCCATGGTGGCTTGCAACAAGGGAAGGATCCGTGTGACGTGAATTCCGGTTCGCTGGTACGAACAAGTCTGCAACAAACCCGAATAACCTCGATTTCGACTCGCGTAACGCATCGAGATCCATTCTCAATCTAAGTACTCCGTATTGTATGCGACATGTAAGTTCGTCCCGGCCATACCACGCATCTGGCCCCGAGCGGCGGTCCTCTTGCAGTCTGGGGACCTACACACCTGCCACTAACGTTGTGGTTCAGATCTAGAAACTAATGCATTATCTTGTATCGGGACCGGTGCACCAGATCGCGCTCTAGAACTAGATGACACGCCACTCTGCCCCGACATCTCTGCCCCACCCGGCAACTTGCTCGAACAAGTCAGCTTACCCGCTCGACCAGAGGTCTTACTATACCGACGGCAGGCGAGATATTAGACGACTTCAATATGCCGAGCATACCTACCGCAAACAACATACCCGCCCCAGATTTCCCACCTCACCTGCATCGGATATTGAATCGCATTCAACCGGCCGGTAGCTACACCTTGGCAAAGTCGACCCGTACCGAGATTGAATGCATACTATGCATACTCTCTGCTTGATGCATCAAACAAGCAAAATGCTGGTAACGCCATATTCCACCAGTGAGCTGGTCAGCCTCACACACACGCCACCGATGTCAGATTCCCGGCCGTAGCACACCATCACTTCGGTAGGAAGAGCCGGTGTAAGCAGGGGTTCTCCAGCTTTTACGACGGCTAAAGCCAAGTTGCATAGCCCGGGGCTGTGTGTGCTGTGTGATATACGGCTAGCAGAAGGGAAGGGTATGAGAGCTGGGGTAGCGGAGATGTGGAAGAATGGAGTTGGGCGCGAGAGTCTTGCTGCCCGGGAATACTGGAAGGCATACCGCTTGGAAGGTTGACTGACTCGTTTTCTGCTGGTACAGTGTTTGATCACGATCTGAAGATGTGACTGCAGATAGAATGCTGTGTCAGCAGACAGCATGAGGCAGGTCACGGGGGTTGACCTCGATTGTTGACCTCGCAGTTATAGGAACTCCCACATCATGTGATCAGAGCAGGTTGTACTCAGCATAGGTGACTACGATAACCCGGTCGTGTCGCAAAGCTTGATACAGCTAAGCATGCTGGTTCAGAGACGAAACCATGTGCATTCGGGCTTAAAGACAACATCAAGATCGGAAATACTGGGCAGATTGCGATGAACAAGACATAATCATAAGCCATACCACTACATCCCTCTCCCCCTCTCTACCCACGACCCCCAACCCCCTCATCCACATCCGTAACCTCAACCCTCCTATCACAAAACTCCACCCACCCATCCAACTCCATCTTCTTCAACACCGTACTAAACCCCTCGCTCCCCTGCCCCTTCCCCTCTCTATCACAATACCTCCCCACAACATCTTCTTCCAACCCTTGTTCCGCCCCCGCCCCATCCGGATACTCGATATGGAACACGGGTTTCCCCGCTGCGATAAAGGGGGCGAAGGTGGCGCACTCACCGTACTTTGCGCATTGCTCATTGACGCTGAAGTGGACGATGGGGAGGACGGCGGGGATGATGTCGCCGGCGTTTTTGAGGCCGAGAGTGAGGTTTAGGGGGGTGGTTAGGGAGGAGAGGTAGGAGAGGAAGGAGATTGAGATGGAGGGGGTGAGGGAGAGGCCGTTGGTGTTTTGCTGGTGGGGTTGTTAGTATGTATACAACTACACGGTGGGGAATGGCATGGAGGTGGATGTTTACTCACATAACCATCAACGTTATCAGGATCAACACCATCACACCCTTTCTCTTTCGCCAAATCTATTCTGTCTTTCATCACCCTCCTCACGTTCTCACTGTTTAGATCCAACCATTTCTCACCCGGCCACCCATCTAGATCACGCCCAAGATCTTCCTTTTTGAACTCCGACGCATCAGGCCGCCAGTCTTCGTAGCTGCCTGCGCTGAAATAGCATATCACTTTCTTACCCATGGAGTGTAGTTGTCGTATCGTCTCGGTGGGCGTGTCGAAGAGGTCGATGTCGAAGATACTGACGTTGGGCGTTGTGCTAGTGTCTGAAGAGGAGAGATCGGGTGGGTGGGAGAGAATGATTTGCCAGGTATCGGACACAGATGGTGTCCAGGGTAGTGTGGTATTTGGTGTGGGGAGGGGTGTGAGGGTTGAAGTTGGTGGGGAGGTGTTGTCGTTGTCGTCGTCGTTGTCGCGTCCTAATGTGAGACCCAACCCTAGACCGAGGCCTAAGGCGAGGATTAGGATGACGATGCCGACGGCAATGAGGATCTTGCGCCGTAGAGACCATACTTGTTGTGCTTCGGGTTTCGTGTACATTATGCCTTTGTGCGACCGGTTGCTAGACGAAGCAAACGAGGTTTACCAATTTGCTGAACTTCCACCGACGCAGAGTCTTCAATCACACGCCAGATACGATCGTTACAGCGACAAAAGATCCGGTTACTAGAACAAGACCAAGTTGACGACCCATACGCGCTGATAACCCACACCCGACACACATCGAACGCTTCAAAAATGAATTCGATAGCCTGGAAATATCACGAGAAGACGCGTCGCAAGCGGCGCAGTGACGTGCGCTACCCTTGCATATGTAGGCAATATATAATTGTTGTATGTAAGACGTATAGTAACTGTAATTGGTGTAGCGCTCATGCAGTCATATTGCGGGTGAGTCGTGCCGAAGGAATTCGCTCCCGGTTGGAAGGGTTGACAGCTGAACATACTGTCGATTGATGGGGGTGAGAACATTAGTTTAGTTGTTGGGAAAATGTCACAGTATAATGCCAGGACTGGATCGTTCTCGAGAGACGATGTGACTACGTGTCGGGTGTGGTGATACTGCAAAACGCAGGTAGCGAAATGCGGCGCAGCTGTCCCGCCAGGTTGGTTCTGATGTTCACCCATATTGATGTTGTGGCTGTGCGAATGTGGGGTTAGCTCAGGGGTCAGGGATGACCGCCTAAAACTCCGCAGTTGTTCACTGGTCATGCTGGATACAGGGAAAAAAACACAAAGACAATTTTGACTGAGCTTCAGCTAAAAGATATACATTGAAGATGACAATTGCGATAATGACCGACGCCATGTTCTTCTAAAGGATGTTTGTGTTTACAGCGGAATGGCCTTCGAGAACTTGTACTGCCTGCTTGCGCCGCTCATAGTCACCCATAGCGTGAGCGGATCACTTCCCAGTTGCTCTTTCGTCGCGCCTGTTGTGCTTGCCACGGCGCCTGGTACGGTGATGGGTATGGTGGTACCACATTTGTTTCCGCCGGCCGTGTAGACGTTGACAGACTCGATGTTGGCGCCGTTGGCGGATGTAGTCCAGGTCAAGCTGGGTCGGCATAGGTCGCGAGTTTGGCGGTTGATGAACTGCTGTGCGAGGTCGTCGTGCTTGAGGGTCTTGAAAGGCCAGGTTGTACTGCAGTATGTTAGTAGGATACTCGTCCGGAGAAGAAAGGGTACATACAGGCGCATCATCTCAGCGGATATGACCTCGATCCATGTCATGAGTAGCGAGTACTGGCCACTCTTGCCGTTGACGGTTGTGGACGGAACGTCGTTGACGCGCATGTTGGCCTGGTGGAACATGTATCTGTATGACAAATCAATATGGATCGATGATGCGGATGAACCTGCACTCACGGGTCCCAATGTAGGCCAAAGAGATTGCGCATTGCAGTGTCTCGAGAGTTGATCATGAGATCGTCAAACGTCCCTTTGCCTGCAGAAGTGTCGATCCACTCTTGTAGAGTACAAGCGGGAAGATCGCAATTGTAGTAGATGAGCGTTGCCCAGCGCGGCATAACGTTGAGTCCGGCGTACCCGTTGTTCTGAACGTTGGTCGTCAACGGCCAGAAACTGTTCTGCTGATTGCGAAGAGGCGGGCGGGTGTTGTCTCCTACGACATTGACGATGCCGTTATCCATCCAGCCTTTGATAGCATCTGCGTTGTGTAGGCCGGTGATTGCAGGCGGGATGATGCCCTTCCCGCTCCAGCGCTTAGCAGCATCAAGCCCAACCTGTTTGAGCCAAGCTTGGTTGAACGAGATCTCTTTGGAAGCGTCTGAGTATGTCGCGTTGGTCAGGTCGGCATGGGAACTATTTCTAGGTCAGTCTTGCAAAGCGTGAAGGGGTACGTACCGTACAAGGTATGCGAGATGTGCGCAAAGGCGTCGCGTTGTTCTTCATCGGCGAACCAATTTTGTAGCTCGTCGATCTCGGCACACTCAAGACTCCAGGTATACTGAGAAGGTGTCGAAGGCCAGATGTTGATGCCAGTACCAGGAGGCTTCTGGAATTCTGGGTCGCCGTCCTTTTGATCCGCGTATTCGATTGCGTTCGTTGGGGTGCAGACTCTCTCGCCTTCACTCGTGTCCGTGGATGCTTCTATATCACCGTTGCCGTTGTGTCCGATCTCTATAAAGAACTCGGATCCTGCAGGCATCTTCGCGTTCAGGTTGGCCTGCCATGTGACATGCAACGAAAGGTCATCAGGCTTGGCGCGATAGTTCACGCCCGCTGGTCGGTACATGGGCGTCTCCAGAAACATGTCATCCACCTGTGTGCTGAAGTAGATCCTTCTGAAACCGACGAAAAGGCCTCTGGTCACCCATGTTATCCAAGCGTGTTGGAGGACGTTGCTTGACGGTGCCCAGTCTAGAGCGAATGGCAAAAACCAAACCATTTGTTGCCGAGTGCCTATCTGGTTGATGACTGCGGCGCTTCCACTGCTCGAGAACTTGGCAACCTCCCATGCCATTGATGCATTCACAATCTTCGCAGGAGAGTGATATATGTTCGCGATGCTCACGTCTACTTTGCTATTGTTGTAGTCAGTATTGTACCAATTGGAACAGAGTCGCGAGACTTACGTCTTGAGATTAGCCGCGGAGAATCCGGTAGTATTCGTGAATGATACAGGCTCATCGTTCAAGTTTCCCCCGACGCTGGAAACTCCAAAGTCGGCTGTAGGGAAAACATCGAGACGGACCATGCGTACGCCAAAGTTGGTCTGGTAAGCATATAGATCGTTCCATTGACGCCTAGTGAGTGCGCTGTAGTACTGATCTCCGTAGTTGTATCCCACTTCGCTCACGGTGACAATACCACCGTAGTTGCCATGAGTTGCTGAAGAGTTGAGTAGAGGCAGGTTTGTGATCCCATCCTGGGGAACAGTGACGATCTCGTAAGGGATACCGTAACCTTGAAGGCCAAGTGTAGCGCTGTTGATGGCGGAAGTCGAATCGCGTGCAATAACCAAGATTGTGCTTGATACTGTGGCACTTCCCACATACGCGGAAACATCTTGCAGGAAGAGACAGAAGCATGTGAGTGCGCATGCTCGCAGTAATGATGCAATGGAAGCCGCCATCGTGAGACGCGAAGTGAACAGCCTGCTACCGAAACTTTTTTCGAGGAACCTGGACGAGTTAATAAAGAAGTCTCGGCAGATATCATCTCATAGGCCACACGGAGGATATTGGTCCAGATGCAGTAAACGATCAAGAGACTATCGATTTTCTCCCTTCCTAGCCTCAGTAGTCGGACTTCCACCTGGCCTTCAACTTGATTCAGAACATGACGCGGCGGAAAGCTCGATCAGATGCTTCGAACACTCATTGCCGTACCTCTGGAAGGCCTCGCATACGTAAGATGCCGTTAAAGCCATATGGTCTACCAGGGTCTTGGCAAATCAGTGTACTTGAGAAGCCACAGCGTTATGAGCTTTGCCACTTAAGACCAATGTATTGCGAAGATCTCAGGGCATGGCTGAACTCGTGACTTTGGCCTACCAAGCCACTGGATGCCTCTGGAGCAGACCCGAAGGCAAAACCCGATGCATGCTGGAAGAAGTGCGGCCAAAGTCCATGGTGCAAAATGCCTTTGGGGCCGCAAGGACGCCAGTGTGTGTAAGGATATTGTGAACGAAGCGCTGGGTGTCGTCTAGCCTGGCTCCACGAAAGCACGCGTATGCCCGCAGCCTGCCCATATTGCGCAAGCAATTACCGTCCCAGACTTCATCTGCGGCAGGTGCATTGCATTGCATGCGCGTCGGATACAAGACCGACAAAGGTGCCGTGATAGATGAGGTTGGATATTAAAATCGTCGTGTGGAGGATGTTAGGCTAAAGGCGGTGCCGGATGAACGTGATTGAAAGAGAGATGATGCGCGTGCACGGACGTTTACTACCGAACCGCGACATTTCAGCCTCGTCACGTCTTCCCGCGTCCACCACTCTTGTCGCGTCATCACGACACCCTCCTACGCTGACATCGCCTCGTCGTTAAGATCTAAATCATCTTTGCTCTAGTCTCAATACAGCAACAGTCCGCTGTTCGGGGTAGATGGCACTAGCCCCCAGATATCGCCAGCGTTCCCTGGCATCGCACTCGCCAATGCCCGGTCAGAAGGCTTCGCGCTGCAAGTCCCTCAATGATGACTGCCGCTCCAATGCCATTCGCGGCAGCCAAGAGCCGTATTGCAGGATTCTCGAAGGATGGCCGTGCTCCGTCACTGCCGCTGGCCCTGCAGCGGTGGATTATTCACACCTATCGTGTATGCTAACGCGATTCGCAGATCAACAGCTAACACATGACTGCACAAACATAGGCCATGGTGAAAATCTTAGTATCTGTCAAACTGGCTTTCGGTAGCCGATGAGCTTGCCCATGAGCAACTGACCATTTTTCCACTCTGTTCACACTGGCTATTCCAGAAGAGCATCATATCCGCCTTGCTACTACGATCTCTGCTATGGATCTTTCAACCAGCTCTTCGTGCATTGCCTACTAACTGGCCTTTATCACTATATGGTAATTACTGTACCTGGAGATATCTGAGCTACACCCAACAAATCATAGGCAGGACCGATGACGTCGCCGGATATCTTGGGCATACAGGCCTTCGAGACTGGACCATTACTACAGGAGTGGTGGGAATGGACGCTTGTTGCCATCATCAGTGCCAGTGGGCTTGTAGGAGTTCTTGCTTTCCTTTGGTACTCCTATCGTTCCCTACGGACATTGTTGAAGGTACGTAGGATGCATGCTACATCTTCTCAGTGCTTACAAACCTCACAGGGTGACGACTATGATCACAGCTTACCACGATCGGTACAAGAACGAATCCACCTATTGTCGAACAGTTCGAGCGTCGTCCGCAAAACCCATACCCTCCCCACAAAGCCGTCGACGTTTGGCGTATATCTGGGCCTTCTGAGCAATCCAGTCACATACGACGAAGCGCAAACACTTTCACAATGGGACGTTGTAGTGTTGGATTATTGCGAGCCTGGGGTCTTGGAAGCTGTTAGCGACGATAACGTTCCAATGGGGCCTCACATCGTCGCACGACTTGGTTTGGCCCAGATAATCACATTCGCGACAACGGATAGTGAACTGGACATGTCGCGAGCGGTATATGTTCTGTCGTGGACCATTCAGCGTACCTTGCGACAGCCGAACCAGAAAAGATACTTCACAGGCGTTCTTGTCTCTGGCTGGCGAGACCGTATATCGGTGCCTCTACTCAACGGCTTGACGAAGCTCCTCATCGCCTACGGTCTTGATGTCTACTTGGAGATTGAGGCTCCAGACTTCCTAGACGGTATTCAGAAACTCGATGTCGCGTTGTTCGCTGGCTTCATCGTCCGCAATGGGACGATCAAGTCGAATGGAGAGCGCCGAGACTTCTTCGAAATGGACAAAATGAAGACTACAACCAAATCGTTTGTTTCTCAAGCCTGTCAAAGATCGTTCGTAACGATGATGTGGGATACAATCGAAGACGATGTCGAACTCTCGCACGCTGTGGTCAGGAGAGCCCACATGTGGTGTAGCTACCACGGCGCCATCCCATACTTTCCGCGTCAGCGGGCTCTATCGAACGTCGACGAGATTGTTCCTTGTCATGAGCCCTTGGCTGCTTTCCAGTGGCTCAAGCAACGAAGAGTCATGGAAGTCCACGAGCGATATCGCATGGCGCGAACAGTAAGTCTTCCTAGCCTGGCCATTCGTAGGTCTCTGCTAAGTCTTGTCAGCTTGCTCCCGGTTTCTCAAGTATCATCGACGATTACCTCCCTTTACAACACATCTTTCCTCGCCTTGCCGATACGCTCGCTGGCCTCGACGCAACCGACTCTTCCGACGACAGCGACGACGATGCGTCGAGCACATGTACCGATACTGTGCACTACCCCGAGATCGACGAGAACGGAGCAATGCTTGCACGAACACCTACATCACCAGTATCTTCTGGTCTGGAATGGACACTGGCAAGGGAGAAGCATAGCAGCGACCCACTGTCTTGCTCATCCAACGGGTTGCCATATGGCTCTTTGGGATGCTTTCCGATTGGATTGGACGCGTCAATGACAGACTTTTCGCGTGTCATTGAATCACAAAGACGTCTACGGGATCTGAAGCTGCTCAGCCGACTATCAACCGCACAACTACATTCTGTCGCCAAGATTCTTCGAGACTATTGCCACAGCAGCAGCCACTTCCTAGACTTGCTTCCAACGTCAAGAGATGCCATCTCAAAGCTTGTAGACGCCCTAGCTCGCACAAATGACGACGCGGAGGACAACTATCAACTACAAGTATACTCTGCGCTTGACTCTGGATTCCACACGCCTGGTGGTGCTCAGTTTTGGGCTGTCTGGGAACTGGAGCAGCGAACCCAATCCGTCATCATGTACATCTCCAAGTCGGTTCAGGATCTCAACGCTGTCCTGCTTCATACGCACTTGAGTAGGCTAGGCTTCTCCAGATATCAGTGCTTCTTAGCAGAGTATGGCTTGACCGAGTTCATGGCTGGGTCCTTCTCGCCTGAACGACTACCCGAGAGGCTACAGCAAGACCTAGAGCTTCTGTCGTCGACTGATCTACTCCTGTATCTGCAGCACATGCAATATTCGGAGTGGGATGAGGACTGCTCGTTGCTCTCATCCATACGGAAACGTTGCGAAGAGCTACTGATTGATGTACCGACGTACCATCAGTTCAAGAAGCTCAGCAACGTGGACTACATCAGTGGTAGCGTCACCGATGAACAGCTGGTCAACGCGAAGCTCAAATGGTACCGGCTGTCGCATCTACCCACACTTGACGAGCGTGATGCCCTAGAACTGTTCAGGGAAGTGGCAAGGGTGCTGGATGATATATTATGGTCACGAGACCATGAGAGGCTAGACATCATCACTTCCGCTGTCAACAACATTACCAGCAGGGGATCCTTAGATTCGGCAGCTGACTTCGTGCTTTTCTGTGTCTTCTGCGCGGCAAGGAAAGCCGGGTTTGAGGAAGTGTACATCGAGGTGTCGGATCGGAATCCCTTGTTCAACCAATACTCAGATCAAAGCGCAGCTTTTGCAGAGCTATTCGCGCTGGGATCAAGATGCGAGGCATACTTTGACATCAAACCCAGCGACATCGGCATATTGCTATCGGAGAAGCATAGGAACTACTACAATCAGGAGGAACATCAACCTCCGATGTGGATCTTTAACGCGCCATCGTTTGCTTCCGCTTACGCGGCAGCTCAGACCGATATCGATCCAGAGCAAAAGCCTTCCGTGATGCCCGCATATCGCCGCTTTACCTTCCTCAGTGTCTTTGCAATTCCGGCACTGGTGGACATCATCTTACTATCTACGACTGGTCACGGACTGTATCTGAGTATGCGCATGGAGGAGGAACAACGATATTATGCAACACTGGCACTGATGTGCTCATTGCTCCTCTCTGGTGCGATTGGAACCTGGATCTCCATCGGAGGCACCTACTACCTCATCTCAATGGCATTCTCAGCCGCCAATATGTTCGTGCTCACGCGCCTGGTTGGTGGTCTGGCATTCACTTTTGCCGGCTGTCTTCTTGGTTTCATTATAATCTCAGCTGTCGTGGGTCCAGGCCTTGGAGCGGTGTTCGTCTTCTACCTTTTCGGCCTCACAACATACCTCACCGTGCTTGCCGTTCTCTCCACATATCAGGTTCCCGGGTCCAGTTTCCTCAATGGTCGCAAAGTCATCATCATGGTAGTGCCGACATTAGTGATATCCCCTCTGTTGACCATTTTCATTCCGGACTACGACATTTACATCTATCCAGGAGTTCTCTACATATTCATCACCTTGCTGATCCTCGGTACTCGGCACGTTGCGACGCAATGGGTGACCTGGTATCACAATATCAAGACGCTTAACGATGCTGACATCAAGGATTGGTATGTGAAGCGCTCAGCCAAGGAGAAGCGTGTCACAGGCGGTATCCATCCGAAAGGTGGGTTCACAATTAACGCTCCAGCCGTAGATGCTAATCGGACTTATGCAGATCGATCGAGCAAAGGTCCTCATACCGCGTCCAAAGTTTGCGAGTCTGACGCGCCTTCTTCAACAACATCGATCAGTGCCGAAGACTTGTTCTACGGCATGAGTGAGCCCGCAATCTTGGCTCTTTGCCGCAATGCGCTACACGTCGCAGTTTTGAAGGAAACCGTACGCCGCTTTTGGCAGAAGCCTACGAATGATACCTTCGTCCGACAGCTCGCAGGTTGCTGGGACTCCACGCTATTTTTACTGGACTGGTATGCACGCATTACCGACACCAAACGACCCATACCATACAGTTCAACCTGGAATCTCGAAACGCAAGTGGCGCTCGAAAGCATGCAGCAGTCGCAAAAAGGTATTCGCCTTCACAACTCCTTCATCCATTGGAGGACCGCTGGAGACGAAATCTACTGTGGTATACTCTACTTCCTCGTCGCGCTCATGGATCGATGGCTCGATCTTGTACGCGGCGGCGACCAACTAGTCGGATTGCTAACCGCCGCGGACAACGACACACTTCGCCTCTCAGTCGGCTTCGGTCTTGCATACTACCTCATTGGAGCTGTACTACTTGACTATAAGGCTCAACACTTACACACCATGTCTGAGCAAATGTCTCCAGTCTCGATCAAGGACGCACGCCAGATCGACAAAGCCAAATCCAACGATCTGAAATTCAGGCGACACTTGTACCTGAACACCTTGTGCCGATTTATCGGTGTCCATGTTTGGGCCCTGGCGGTATGTGCTGCACTGATCTGGATTTTCAATGGCTCCTCAGCCGGTCTCATCATATTCCTGGCTTATGTTGGCGCATATACTGGTCTACTCCTCTACCAGTACAACAAGATTTTCTCCGGACCACATGCACTAATGCCACTCCTGGCAGCAGTCATTCTCGGCTTCGTAACTGGCAACATACTCATCACGGTCTTACCAGGTTTCATGTACAACAAGATCATTGCACTTGCTGTCTCAACCTGGACGGCAGCTCTTCTCTCGTTCCGGACTGCCAAGCTAGGCATGCCCGACTTGCTCCACGTGCGCACCTGGATGTCGAACCTACTACCAGACACCGAGCAGAACAAGGAGCCCACTAACTCGACCGAGATGTCTAGCTTGAGCTGCGTCGCGTCTCGAACTGAAGATCGTTCAGCCATCGACGAGCGATATCGCGCCTATAGCGGCACTGGTGGTGATGCGGAGTTCAGTCAAAGTGAGCTCCACGCGTACTGCAGCAAGCTGCGGGCTGCACCCAAGGAGAACAGGTTTCGCGTGCATCCCAATGGTCAGCCTGGTGACCAGATCTGCGCTATCCTACTATCATGCACCCACGAAAACCTCTCTAGGCTTGCCATGCAAGCATTCCCGACTATGCCCTTTCTCATCCAGCGGATTGTTCTGGCGTGGAAGAACGAATCTATCAAAGTCTTCATCGTTCCTATGCAAGCTGTGGCTGGGGTTGATTGCCACCTACGGGCGATCTCGCATTATACAGGCGGACGTCTCACGCTTTACGTCGCTTCGGATGCGAAGGGATCTGGCTCAAAGCAGATGAACGTGAGCAGCAATAGTGCAATCATTGCCGAGACGTTGCTACACGCTTGTTCAGAGACCATGTTTGGCATGCCGCACTACCAGGCTGAGATTACAGAATCAATGCTTGCCTGCCGGGAAAGCGACTGTGGTTTTTACGCCATATCAGAATGCAGCAAGCGGTCGATGCCCGAGCTTATCGTGGGACCGAAAGCCCTAAGCTTTGAAACTGCACTTCGCAAAGACCTCTTGCGAAATTTATGCCTTGGTTTCGACTGCGAAACTCAATGGGACGACCTTCCGCTCGAGATTCGACGCCTCTTTCTCCGACGATGTGTTGGCATCCGCGCACCTTATACGAACACGGAAATGGCCTGGATCAACGCCAACGTTCCAACAGAAAGCTCTTGTACAATCTTGTCGTGCATCGCGCGATATGACCTCGGCGCGTATTTGACGGTTGTCAAGTATAGCTTCTTCAAGAACCGAGGCGATCAGGCTCTCACTGAGAAAGAGTACCGTCAAATGACCGCGGACATCCAGCAGGCGTATCATCCAGTCTTGAATCACTCCGCTGTTTCGATTCTCAGCATCTTTACCGAATACGTCCGTCTGCCGATTGCCTATGTCTACCACTCTGCTGGAACCTGGGTCAAGTTCTTCTTCCTCGCGTGTATGGCCGACCCCGAATACCAGCGCGAGTTGAACGGGGCCTTGATACATACACCGCGTCCTATAGCAGCGTCCGCCACCTTTGTCCTTACGGGCTTATGGATATACAGTCGGGTTGCGATGTCCGTCGCTTTACCATTCTTCCTGTATCATCGCCGCAAAGACATCGCAGGTCTTGCTGGGACAGTGAAGGGTAGTTTGATCGTCCAGAAGAAGAACCGCTTGATCATTCGAAGCTATGGAGATACTGAGACAGCGTTCATTCATCCCATCAAAGCCAGCGGAGTCAAATTAATGTTCTATGCGGGTGATCTGGAACAAGAGCCTACTTGGGGCCATCTCCGGGTTACATACTATGACGAAGAGATGCGCATCACGTTGCGTGAAGACTACAAGAATGGCGCGGTTACCAATGAGTTTGTCTACGAGTATGCATTGAAGCAATCCCAACGCAAGACAAAGATCTCAAAGGTCAAGCAGAGTAGGGTGCCCCTAAGCAGGACCTGCCGCAGCGGCCAAGATGAGGGTGCCAAGGTTATCTACAACCGGAAGGGCCACATCGAGTCGGGAAGCTATATCAACCACAATAATCTGGTCCGTTTCAAGTATCATTATCGCAAGAACGCCAAATACGACGACGAGCTTCTTCGCGCCGAATTTGTTCTGCCGCATATGTCAGCCAACGTCAGTTGGTGTGCACCTCCTGTTCGTCACGCCGAGAAGATGGAGCGCTGGATACCCACTCCTCGCGTCCACGAAGCGACATTCGTCCAAGGAGCCGACGTATATGAATGCTCATGGCTCTATGATCACAAGTTCCATCCAACCATTACCACGAAGCTCAACGGCGCGCCAGTCGACACCCCGGATATGATTCGTCATGATTGGCTTGGCGTACTGAAGAAGCCAACTCGATGCACTTTCGCCGACGAGAACCCCCTGCTGGCCTTCAAGTCCCCATCTTCCAGCCTGTTCAGTCGGATGCTGCGAACAAACATCAAACAACAAGAGATTTCGACGTCCAGGGCTCGGTCCCAACTTTGGAAAGCCTGGAAGAAGCGAAACGATCTGGATGGTGTTGTCATCCGGTGGGTAGATGAAGAGTTGATCCGCAAAGAAGCCCTCCTCCGACCATATTGGAGACGGAGAGATCGCGGTAGTCTCGTGAAGGCGGAAGACTATCTGGCAATGCACGCCGATGCCATCATGGCCAGCTCAGATCTCACAAGCGACATTAGCGCATGGACGCCACTTGCAATTCGAATGAGTGATTTGTTCAGCTTTGGCCAGGGTGGGGATGCCGTTATCTTCACCAGAACCAAAGCACTACAACGCGACACTGACCGCAACCTACATGTTATCGCTGTCGATACTGGTACTTGGCCAAATGAAGGCGGTGGTGTCTCGGCGTGTCGTCGAGATCTCATCAACAACTTGCGCACCATCAAATGGCACATGGTCGTCGAATCGGCTAACGACTTTGGCTTGCCGAAGCACCAAACTGAAGAGAACGTTGAGTCACTCAAGGTGATACCACTGTGGGGGCTGGACTTCATGCATCCGAACCATGGGATGTTCACCAACAAGCTGGACAGCGAGGTCGACCATCTGGTCAAAGCAGCAACAATATCCGACATCGAGACGAACTTCATTCCGACCTTGACTGCCCTCGTTCGCGGCGCTCGAGCTACCACAATGACGTCAGCAGACGTCAAGCAAGCGACGCGTGCTTTGGTCAACCTGAACACATACTTCCAAGATTCGCGCCACTGGAAAGAAGTCTGGACAAGCGATGTGGTCAAAGATACATGGAGGAGACTGTGGCTCGATGAAGCCATCCCGAACGCGCAACCGCCCTCAGAATGGTTCCGTACTGAGCTTCCAACGCTCAATCACTTCGATACCGCGCTAGAGCTGTGGTTCCGATGCAAGTAACATCCCCATGTTGAGCGCGACAAAGCTAATTTGAATAGATCTATTCATTTTCTCGATCCCCATCCCCGAAAAGATACCCCACGTCTTCCAAGCCTCGCACCACAGCGTGTCAGCATCCTACGGGATCGTTTGCAAGCTGAAGCGCAACTGCACACTGCAAATCTGGGATCATGCAATCTCCTGGCGTGAGACTAACCTCTACCTCTCATCAGCGATGTGCACCCTACCGCCCTTCATCCGAAACTCGCTACTGGGTCTAATGAAGTTGACATCTTGTCTCATCTTGCATCACGCCGATCAGATTCTTCCCTGTGCAGGTAGGTGCATTGCATCTTTTATCCAATCCAAGTGACTAACTTGATATGCTAGACTTCTTCAACCCCGGCTGGGAGGTGGAGATCGGCAGCGCAAAGGGTCAACTCACCCACCGCAACGTGTTTCGTCGGAAGGTCGATCCCATCGTCAACGGTATTACCGACATGACCAAGTTCTCTCCGGTGACCGAGATCAAGACGAAGACGCCGACAGTAACCATGCTGTCCCATGTCTGGTTTGCGAAAGATATCAAAACAGCCCTCCTTGCAGCAGATATCATAACGAACGAGTGGGGCTTCAAGGACTACAAGCTCGATATCTACGGAGCTCTCAACAAGTCGCCCGTCTACTCCTCTGAATGTCAAGAGATCTTGGCTTGCAAAGGTCTTGGTCAGAACGTAGCGATGCGCGGCACTGCAGACCCAGCGATGGTTCTCGCAAATACTTGGTTGTTCCTCAATTCCTCCGTTTCGGAAGGACTGCCGCTTGCGCTCGGAGAAGCGGCGCTTACTGGGGCACCAGTCGTGTGCACCGATGTCGGCGCGTCGCTGCGCGTGCTCACTGATCCCGACGACGGCAAACGCTACAGCGAAGTTGTGGCACCCAATGATGCATACGGTCTTGCACGAGCGCAGATCAACCTGCTGGCTATGCTGGATGAGTGGGCACAATATGCTGATGATGACGCTGGGGTAGCGGCGCCTATCTTGCCTCACAAGCCCACACCAAAAGACGTGGAGATCATCACGCGCCGAATGTATGAGAAGTCTGAACATCGACGAAAGCTGGGGATGATGGCTCGCAATATTGTCCAGAAGTCTTTCGGTGGTGAGCGCTACCTTCGCGAGCACGAGCAGATGCTCTGGATTGGTAAAGCCTGCTATGAGATGCTGGATCTAGAGAAGCGGATACCACCTCCAAGAAACCCAGCGCGCATGCTTTCGCTTCGTCGTAGTCTGCCACGACTTCATCAACGGGATACTGCATCGAGTCACATGTTCGATGCGCAGATGGAAAAGATGATGCACCCGCGTCCGTACGCACCAAGACGAACATCAGCAACAACATCGTTTTCGTCAGTGTACATCGACGAACCTTCGGGCTCCTCATCGACTTACTCGGACCCCATCTGGGAGCACGAAGAATGGGACTTGCACCATGAGTCGCCCGAATCGTCGGTCAAGTACGAGAACTCTGATACTGATGACTGGCCGATACCAGCCGTAACCCGTCCCACGAGACCGTACTCGGGTGTCAGCGCGAGCTCAATTTCGCCTGCTGCTAAAGGAAAGCGACCCGCCCGGTATTCGTATTACGGACATGAAAGCAATCGAGTTTTTAAGCCGGCATCACCGAACGCGAAAATGGATCCAAAAAGAGCGGTGCTTATGCGTCAAAGTCTGGCCACGACAGAGAGTGCGCGGAGTAGTATGCGAACGAGGAGTCACTTGAATGAAGTAGAGCTTGCTGAGTATGGGAATGTGGATGGACGGTTATGATGAAGGAGGGAGTGATAGAGTATCGTTTTTTGGAAGTTTAGCATCGTTGTTCGCATCTGTTCTCACTCTTTTTCTCCAGGATCAGATAGCATTCATTAGTACGGATGTAGCTGTATGCAGAGCTCAAGCTTTTCCGAATATGAAGGTACACTACGTCAAGCTCGCCAAACGCAAACCTGCACGGACCATAATAGTCATGTGACTGAAGGTATAGCCTTGGGTTGGGCGTGTAGGCCAAAGCATTCACCCAAGTTCGGACCCCCGACTCTTCTTCGCGACGCGTTCAACGACAGTGTTTCTCTCCTCTCATCCAAGCCAACTCAACCCCATTAGCGCAAGAATCCAAACCATGCATAGAGAGACTGCGATACCGACGACACGACCTTCGGTATGGGACAGAGTGCGAAACAAGCGATGGCCTCTGATACGCACGAATTCCAAGCTCTCGCTAGACGATGGAGGCGCGCGACCAAAGCCAGGAGGGCTCAAACGAATGCTAAGCTCACGTTTGGGAACGAGCGTAAAGACTCCACGGCCTCGGTCATCCTGGGCATGGGGGAGGGGAACCGTCCACGGTGCATCAGAAGAAGCGGTACCATTGACTCGCTCGAGAATCTTCCTACAACGAACAACTTCAGCCACCACCGTGGATCGAATACGGCCGCCGAGTCATTACGTCGACTACAATAGAGTCCCACTTGCTTGTGGCCGTCGACGGCCTACATCGAAGAGTAGTATAGTGGCTCAAGCTTCCGAAGGAGTGACCCTCGCGACAGTCTACAGCGACGACGGCGAACCCTCGGGACGCGAACACGACCGCCGGAACTTCAAAGCCATTCGAGGCATATCGCGCGCAGCCTTGGAAGAAATGGGACTCGATCTCGTCGATCCTGAGAGGAAGTTGTCCCCGGGCAGCTGCCGCGTCACACATCGAACGGAGGGCTCGTTCCATCATGCAGTCTTCTTAAAGGTCGAGCGCGATGACGAAGTTCCGCAGGAGTACGTTCTCAAGATACCTGCGCACGGTACACCAAAAGAGTGGGGTATGAACGACCGTATGATGTTGGAATGTGAAGCTCAGTTACTGAAGCATATCCGCCACCATACAGACTGTCCAGTACCAGAGGTTGTCGCATACGACGGCGGCCTACAGAATGCGATAGGCGCGCCGTACATACTCATGAAGAAGATCAAAGGTATAGCGGCGACGGATCTGTGGCTCGGTCAACCCTACAGGATGTTCAAATCTGACGATCTGCACCTTGAGGCCGACGACCCTTCTCCGGAGGTCGAGCAAAAGCGCGTTACCTTTCTGCGCTCACTTGCGCAAGCTATGAGTCAACTTGCTACACTCAAGTTTCCGTATACTGGCGTCCCTAGCTACGGGTGTCCGGAAGATAAGAACCCAAAGTTCATCGCGCCGGCCTGGCGGTGGCACTGCAAGATGCACATGGAAGAGCCGACGTCTTATGGATCATTTGCGTCCAACGAAGCCTTTTTCGCCGCTGGCCTCGACAGACTCTGTGAGCCCGAGAACCCTGATGATAGCGACGGAATGACAGAGCTTGGGGTTCAGATAGTGATGAGGATCGTACTGTCTTCGGCTCCGTTCAAGCCGTCCACACCCTCACAGGGTGAGATCTCTCAGGCTGGGTACGGTAGCCACACCGTGCCGGTACGCGAAACATTTGTCATCCGACATGATGATCTCGACCTCCAGAATATCCTGGTAGATGAAGATGGTAATGTGGCTGGCATTATCGACTGGGATGCTTGCGCAGCGGTGCCACGCTGCATTGGCTACACATCCATGCCTACCTTTCTTCGTCGCGACTGGCTCCCAGACTACGGCTTAGGTCGGCTGCCACATATGACTTGGGCTATCGAGCGCTACCGCGAGGTATACACCCAGGCTATGGAGGGGTTCTGTGAGTCTTCGGATGTAAACTTTACGCGCAAGTCCGCGATGTATCAGCTGGTGTTAGCGGCCTTAGATAAAGACTTTCGGTGTAGGGATGTTGTGAAGCTGCTGCTGAGGGAAATGCCTGAGTACAGACGCGTTGATGTGAATTCGTTTTGTCGGAAGCTGGGGCAGGGTTGGCCGGCAGCTGAAAAGGCGTTGAGGATGAAGATGGCGGAGTTGTTGAAGCCGGAGTAAAAGCGATCCGTATGCGCAGCCCGTATGACGTCGAAGGATCTTCCAAGAGATTCATTATTTTATGGTATTCGAACCATGTCAACGCCATCTCGATGGTGATGGAAGATGGCCCCGAAATTCCACGTGCTGAGTCCAAACTGTCGTTGCTATGGGGTCTCTTATCGCAACGACCGCAAGCTTATCAGTGCTCAACGTCATCGGTACCGAGCACGTGCCGAGCTCTCACCCCTACGTCCCAACGTTCTTTCTCACGCACAAACTTCAACCAACGCATCGTCAGATCCGGCCCAAACACACCCCGCATCGGTGAGAGTCATCAACGTGCGATAATCGTATTGCCCCGCAACGGCCGCCAACAATCGATAAACTATTCCTGTGCCACGCTTGGGCCAAGTCGCGTTACGGTGCGACCAAGACGGATGGCGGCTGTCCAGCTTCTCAGCCCTATCTTACGCGAGCCTCTTCTCGTAAAGCTTACAGGCAGGATCGATCTAAGTATCTCACGCGGTACATGATGAGGCGATGATACATCAATAATGTACCCTTCGAGAAATAGCACTACCACACCTGCAGGTGCTGCCGTGTCATCGCGCGTCCTTGTCCGGATGTAGTACCACTCGGTGTAATACAATGGGTATAGCACTACCCTAAGAGCATGTGCCGAGCTGGTGTTGTAGCTCTTAGGTTCTCGAACAGGTCTCGGCTCATGTTCATTGGGATCGGCTACCAGTTAGGACGTGCTCGACTGCATTGGCGCGCAACAAGCCAGGCATCGTGATCCGAAGAAGGGTGTGCGGGAAAAGCAACGTTTGTTGATATAAAACAAACATAGTGAGGACACATTCAGATACGAACACCACCCACCAACAGTCGCTTTTGCCTTTATCTTCTTGCACCTATTGTGTGCTCTAATATCCTAATATCTAATGTTTTCACACGCAAAGGCGGCGGCTGCCTTTCTGCCATTTCTCTACTCAAACACCCTCGCTCAGGGCCAAGGATCATGGGGTCCAGTAATCGACTTTCCGATCATTCCTGTTGCAGCATATATCGTTCCGGAATGGCCGACTCCGACTCGCATGATGGTGTACTCGGCATTCTCACCGAACGCCTTCGGGGGTGAACGTGGTCTCACTCAGTTCGCGGAGTACAATTTGGTCTCCGGACAGATGACTACTCGTCAGGTTGCTGAAACCAACCACGACATGTTCTGCCCTGGTATGAGCTCCTTGGCCGACGGAAGATTGGTGATCACAGGAGGAAGCAATGCGGAGAAGACAACCATATACCAACCGGAGACAAACACATTCGCTCCCGGACCGGATATGAAAGTACCCCGTGGCTACCAAAGCAGCGCTATCCTCTCCAACGGAAATGTCTTCACTATTGGTGGATCTTGGAGTGGACCAAGAGGTGGAAAGCCAGGAGAGATTTACGACCCGGCACAGAACACATGGACACTTCTTCCTGGTGCTGCCGTCGAGCCGATGTTGACGACCGACCACGAGGGTATCTTCCGCGAGGATAACCACGCCTGGCTCTTTCCTTGGCGCAACGGCACCATCTTCCAGGCTGGGCCCAGTAAAGCGATGAACTGGTACTACACCGATGGCGAAGGAGGTGTCAGCCCAGCGGGCATCCGCGACGATGTCAACGACGCCATGTGCGGTGTCCACGTTATGTACGATGTTGGAAAGATTTTCACTGCAGGTGGAGCCCAGTACTATGACCAAGCTCCCGGTCTCGCAGTCGCGCATTTGATGGAAATCAACTACGTGGGCGCACCGGTGACGGCTGAACGAATCGCCGATATGCATCACCCCCGCGCTTTCGCAAACATCGTCGTTCTTCCTGACGGCAAGCTCCTGATCACTGGCGGACAGCGTTGGGCTGCAGGCTTCACAGACATCGACCCCGTCTTCATCCCCGAGATGTTTGACCCCGCAACCAAGACCTTTACCGAGCTGCCCGCTGAAGCCATTCCTCGTAACTACCACTCCGTTTCTATCTTACTACCCGATGCCACCGTCTTTAGTGGAGGAGGAGGTCTCTGCTGGGATGACGGAACCGGTGGACCGTCGTACCACTGCAAGGATACGGTCGACCACCCTAACGGCCAGATCTTCACACCAGCATACCTCCAAACCGGCGCTCCTCGCCCGATCATCGAGAACGTTGCTAACAGCATCGTCGCCCCTGGCGGTGAGCTGAGGGTCAAGATGCAAGGTTCGGCCGACGGTGTGAAGTTCTCTTTCATCAGGATTGGAAGTGTTACACACAACGTCAACAGTGATCAGAGGCGAATCCCGCTCCAGCCCAGAATCGAGGGTGAAGAGGTTGTCTTGCCTATCATGAATGACTCTGGTGTCGTGTTGCCGGGAGCGTGGTATCTGTTTGCTGTCAGTGCGGAGGGCGTGCCGAGTGTGGCTAGGACTGTGTGGGTCGAGAAGGTTTAAGTTTGATGCTGCATTTAATTTAGTGACGACAGATGAAGATATCTAAGTAGATTCGTAGTAGTGTTAATACAAACCATGATACCAAATCAACACATGTGTCAAAGTGTAAAGGATAGGCACTGTTGCGGAAGATTCGGCATCGAGAGCTCATTGCTTAGTGAGCACTCTGAGTGACTGACTTCTTTCGGTTCATATCAAGAATGTAAGAGCTATGGACGACATAATTATTATTAACCAATATGTTGACCAGTATACCTCGCTGGCTAAAGCACATTACCAACATGACGATGGAGATGCTCGCTTTAATGCTTCTACGAAGAGAACCTACAGAGGTCCTCTCTCCACGTCCTTGTGTGATCCATCCACGCTTCCATCAGAGGAGCCCTCTTTGATCGCATCTTTCTTCTCCTCAGCCTTCGGTGCCGGTGCCGGTGGCGGAATCTGCGCAACCCAGAACACCGGGTATCGCCGCTGAACATTATTTCCCATCATTGCCGTAACCAGCACAACGGTCGACGACAGCAGCAAGACCGGCAAGAAGTACCATCGCAGCGCCCAGATATGCTGGTCAACACACGGCATGAGCGCTGTTGCTCCAGCAGGTGGATGAGTCATCTTAGTCAGATGCATGACAACGAGAGCGATAGCTGTGGCCAAGGCAGCAGCGAGCCATTGCAGTCGTGGGTAAGGATCTTTCTCGAGGTCGAATTGGAAGATGGTTGCTATGATGACTCCGACTAGACCGCTGAAGAAGTGGCCGAAGATTAGGGAGCGTGGTTGCGAGAAGGGCACGTCGATGGCGCCGTAGCAGAGGATTGCTGAGGCACCCTACAAAAATGTTAGTCCTCCTCAATATCAGATATACAAAGAGTCGGAGAACTCACAAATGAAGCGATGATTGGTGGTACGGCGCGACTTCTCATGTAGTCTGTATGCCCAAATATAGCGAGGATGACGCTAAGCCCACAGAAAGCGCCGATGAAGCCCCAGACACAGACGACCCATGTGCGAGCAGCTGGTGCTGCTTTTGTTCGGTATCCAAGCCAGTGGCTGATAGGTTGTGGAAGGCGTGCAAGACCACGCTGGATAACGCGCTCAACGGGCACAAGAGGATCCCATATCGGCATCGTGGAGGCGGAAGATGCCTAGTTTACGCACGCGGCGGCGACTACAACAGATACTCGAAGAGAACGTCTGAGTTAGGCCAGTCGCGTCGAGGGCTATCCAGTGCCAATATTGGGATGTAGTAGTGGTAGCGATGTCAAGAAATGGAAATGCGGAAAGAGAGAAAGCTTGATGAAAGCATAGACGCGGTAAACAGAACCTAGGGAAGGGAATAACCACCGGTGGGACGTCACCATCGCGGATCGAGCCTGGATCATGCACCCCGGACTAATGGCGCGTGCCGATTTAGTGCTACTAATGACCGCGGCATCACGGTTTTTGAATTCACGATCTTTGTTGATGCCACTGTTCCTAGGCATGGATGGTATGCGTCGATACGCAGACAACCAGATCTCTGGCCCTGCTGCTACACCTACGAAAAGGCCCTGCAACAACAGCGAGGCTAAACTCTGCGCAAACAAACGCGCAAAAGGAAGGCTTCCGCAAAGTCTTGACGATGGTTTGCGAAAATGCGGAGTAAGCGGTTTTCTGTTAGTAATAATCCGAGATTTCGCAGAGCTTCGGGCGAATGTCGCCGAAGTGCGGCATCACCAAAGTCTTACTCCCCACACTTCTGCGAAAGTCACTTTCCAGCTCGTTTGGCTCAAAGTTGTTGGTATTATGATGTATGTATGTTTTGGAATCATGTAAAGAGGCAGTTCGTGCCAATATATGGTCTTAGAATCCGTGGAGACCGGGACCAACCCTCGAAAACGCCAGAGCGCCGCGCTAAAGCCCAAGGATATGGCATGCATCCCAAATGAAAGTCGTAACATGGTCGTCGCGATTAGACAGCCTGCCAGGTATTACTATTCGGATCCTTTGGCAGGCTATTGTTTGAGCCTTTGGTACCCAAGGCGGTGGCCACCGAATCCACCCTAACATTTCCCTTCACTTTCGTACTATCCGCATCATTACTATTCATATCCTCTTCATCATCTTTCACAGTCGGTAAGCTCATGTCGGCCACGAAGCTCGGCTTGGTGAGCTGGTGCTCCTTCAATATGCCCATCTTCTTCAACCAGTTCTCAGCAGGGCTCTTGAGCCAAGGTAGCGAACTAGCGATTATGCCGATCTCTTCCTCGAGTTTGGCCCACAGTGAAGGTACGATGGTAGCTTGCATCACGTCGCCTTGGCCGAAAGTGGTGAACGTTGTCATCTTGGCGCAGTTTATCGCGGTTGCGAGGAGACCGAGGGCCATGAGGAAGCCGATGAGTATCTTCTCGGATTGAGAGCGGTTCAAGGTGCGGATCAGCCGGATTGGCATGAGTGAGAGTGTGAGATCCATGGCGATGTAAATGCCTATCAAGCGAGTCAGTTGGGTCGTATATGAGTAGCACCTCTGGAGGTCTTACCAGCAATGACCCATCCGTAGATGACGATGGGGCCCAGATCCCAGCATTTGGAAGAGATACCGGTATCCCAGTTCGAGCTGACGGGTGTGCATTGCGCAAATTGGATGACGAAGTAACTCCATGAGATTGTTGTTTGTAGGCCCATGATGAAGTACAATGGCCATCGCCAAAGCCTTTCAGTCCCGAAGCGCAGCAGTGAGCACGCGACAGAGAGTCGTACAAGCCAGAGCGTAAGAAGCCATACAGTTTGGAGGGCGAACTGTAGCCTCAATGTCTGCTTGAGCGTCTCGGGTGTGAAGGATGCCGCTGGTTTGCCCCATCCGTATGCCGTGGATGCGATAGCCAAACATATGCCGATCAAAGAAAGTGGTTCTGCGACAACGATGATCCAGTCATCGAGAAACAGTTTCCCAGTCCTCTGTATCCGTGTGTAGATGCGTGCGGTAACCAGGAAGAGTGCGACAACGCCGAAAGAAACGACAGGTCCAAGGTAGATGGCGGCTTTGTTGGAGTATGGCACCGCGGCCATCGGGTCGGCCATCGAGTGGTGGCGTATCGTGGGGTTTGACCAGAAGGTGAGGATACGGAGGAGTCTGGGGTATTGCAATTGTCTTGCACGCTACGTGCGACTAGTTGTCATGGGCTTCGTGAGATACTCAAGGAATCCTCGTATGCTGCGATACCACCAAAGCTACACACCCGTCGACGGACAAATCGTGACCGGAAGCCACGGATAGACAAGACGAGGAGACGAGGAGACGAACAGGCAAACAAGAAGAAAGAAAAGCCTAGATACCCTAGGCTTGTAGAGGTGTTGAACAAGTTTAAACTTTCGCACCTCGGGATCCGGCTCATCGACGCTATATACGGACCGCTGCAAGCACCGTATTTCCCGCCATTCTGACATGCGACAGCGTGGATTGATGAGGCGCCCGGCCATATGTCCTGTGAAGGCTACCACCTGCAGGAACAATAAAGTTCCAAGCAAACCTTCCGTCCTTCAGCGCGGAGACGAACTTGCGCAATGCAGATGCGGTGGGGAGGGAACCGTTGCTTTGACACGGCAGATGGGCCAGGGCCCTCAGGCATCCATCGTCAAATGTTGGTTGCAGATGAGCCGTTTACCACGCGACTGCTAGACTAACCTGGGTCTAGGCGCTCGCTCGGCTGGGTATAGTGAGGCTATCGCAAGCGGGTAGTGGCGTGGCATGATTCACGTACCTGGAGCTGCTGAAGCAATGGCTTCGTTTTTGATGGGTGCATCGCCCCTGAGTTGTTCAGCTCCGCGAGCAGGTTTATGCGGTAGATGCACGTCAACGGCGAATGCTGCAAGTTTCGACCCCGGATTACTACTGTCGCAATGACTCTAGCAATCAGATGAGAGAAAGAGGAAAGACGAAAAACCTGCGCTGCCGCTTGCTACGTCTACTGTGTTGCAGCTGCGACAAGCTGCACATCTCCTACTCGAGAATCTAGCCATCGGGATATTCATTCCCTTCGCGGTGATGTATTCCGGTAAACTACTCGGTTTCATCGCTGCGATACCATCGACTCTGGCCCTGGTCCAGCGGCAGTACGTGCGTACCGTGTTCGGTGCGGCCTCTTTCTGATCTGAGGATTCGCAGCTGAGCGCCGCCATTGGCGGCATTATAGGAGTCTGAGTCGCAACAGCATCCATAGGGATGATCAGCCCCAATGCGAGTCAATAAGTTCGGAAGGATCGCATTGCGCAAGCACTGCAGGATGATTGAATTCTGGTTGTTGGGAACTCTTGGAATTGAGGATTGGCCGCCACAACGGGCGGAAGACGGCGGAAGACGAGAACCCGGATGCAGACTGACTCGTATCGATAGCCCAGCGAACTGATGGCTCGCACATCGCATTCAGAATTCTGGTAGCATGCGAACTATGTGGTAGCAGAACCAGAGTCCCATATGCGCCATCCTTCTTGCATGCTGCAGGGCCGCTGGCGTTCAGGCTATACGAATGTCTGTAACACGCCAGGTCAGCCACCGCATGAAAGATTACTGATGGAAACATGTAAGCCCAACTTCGGGCCTTCTTCTATATCCCTCATTCCCTCTCCAAGAATAGGAGTACATCGATGTAGAACTCCAATGGTCGTAAGCTTGATGAGATGCTTCCGCGGTATCTGATTGGTCTATGACATCATGCCCCTCACTTTAGCGCAAGCACGCAACCTGCATTGAAACTCTATCGCAAGATCGCAACCGAACATTGATCATCAACCACATCCTAAACTCAATCCGTTACCCATCCTCCGAAAACCGATTAGAAAGCTTTGCTATGGTCGAATGTCCAGAGTGCGGTGCAGGGGCTGATTTGACGAAAGACGGTGCTTGGGCGCATTGCGCTTCCTGTATGTCAACGCCCCTGATTTTGTAGACATTCATGCTGAGTTGTTATGAGGCAACACGGTTTTTGAGCCAGGAAAAGAAGGTAGCCACTACAAGGGCAGCGGAAGCGGGTCTGGTGACAAGGAAGAAGAGAAGAAGAGCGACGCGAAGGATGAGAACGTGAAAAAGGATTGAGATTAAGGGGACGAGCTTGACTTCGAGCGTGAGACGTTTAAGAATGTTGATGTATGTTCACCCAGTGATGATCATGGGTTGTACGCAAAGGCTGGACCTGCTTACAGTACGAATGAAATCGCTAATGTAATGACAGACATACAATATACGGCACATGTGTATCTCGCCCGATGTCCAGCAATGGTACATGATCGACGAAGATCTCTTCTTGCGCCTATGTCATCTTTATCTACGTGATCCTTTCGCTCCAATGGAGTAGCTCATACCTGAGCGATACGATCTCGACGTAAGAAAACGTAGATTTATCCTAGCCTTCCACAGCGATACGTCTTGTCGGCGGAGACCGCAGATTTCCGCCGGCATCAGCTGTCTCAACATGATCTTTTCGACTTCGCTAGCAACTGTCAGTTGGTTCATTCTATCAGTGAAAAATACTGTGCACTTACGCATTGCCCGAATCAGGTTTGTTCTTAACGTCATATCTGGTCAAGGTCTCCTCGAGATAATCCAGTACCGCTACCGCGGAGTACTGAGATGGGAACAACTGCTTGCAATCTTTTGATTGGCAGTCGTGTCGGGTCTTTTGTCCGTGGAAGTACTGATCCTTTGGATAAATAGAGGACACTTTACGCGATTTCCTACCGCCGACTCCCCCGGATGCTTTTGCCGGATCGTATTGGACGCGATATGGGCTAGAGAAACGACTGAACTCTGTCTCGACGACCTTTCCCAGCCCGTTTACCCACAGCGTAGTAGCTGCGTACCCAACAGTCTCACCGAATGTGTCATTCAGCGCATTCAAAGCGTTCAGTCGAAGTTCTTGAAACGTGATTGTTTGCTCGGCGAAAAGGGAACAGCCACCCGGTGTAGAGGTTAATGAACGGATTGTGACAGTGCGATCACCCCAATACGAAGATGTCTCCAAGAGTAAGGGCAGCACGCTGATGCGCAGGTCTTCCAAGGCGGTCGGATCGGCTAGGTCGAACTCCAGCACAACGCTGAGCTCTTGTGACTTCTCCAGCTTCCAATGGGGCGCTGACCACCGCAAGGGTCCTGATATCCCATGGTAGTTCTGTCCGGGATCCTCGGGAGTTGTAAATGTACGGCGTAAGATGCGAGCGAGTTTGCTAAAGTTAGCGAACGTACTGCGCTTCTCCCTTGAATGTAACAGCAATGTGTACGATGCGGCTTGTAGCAAGCTTGCCCAACAGGTCTCATGAAGCCGCCTGTTGGCGTAAGTGAAGTTGATTGGCAAGCTCGTGTCGACATCAAGATCGATGCAGATTTTCTCCCGCTCACTGAGAACCTCGGAAAAGATCTTGGAGAGTACGGGATGAACGGGTAAGGTCAGCAAGGTAGGGGGTGTCGGCTTTGTTAAGGTGAGACACCGTCCACTATCCTCAGCGGCAAAACGGTAGATATGTTGCTCGCGATCGAGTGCAAATCGACTTGGTGCGCCAGAAGGGGGTGCTCTACCCAAACGGAACATACCGCCGGAGCCGTCATATTTAATTGCAATCTCGAGCATCTGACTGCGAGATGCCTTCAGCATCACTTGGCCTTCGAGAATACACCGCATGACCCGGGTCATCGCTGGAGGATTACAGACACCCCGGGAAGCTCCCTTGTGTTGCAAATAAGCGACCTCGATAGCGAGGCGGTGGTGCCAGAGGAATCTCAAAAGTATGCCGACCTCAAACACGTCGTATGTGTACGGGAATGACCATATATCGAAGTTCGGGGCCCACGGCCTACTCGTAATGTCGAGTACAACTTTACGGACCCAATGAACCTGCGAGCCCAGTCGCTGGAAGAACAGTACAGCAACCTCTGCCACAGTCGCCTGACTACGCTGTGAGTATTGGTAGCTGTTCGGAGCTATGAGGAATGTGTTGTTGCTATAAAAAGCTGAAGCAACATCCGAGTAGATAGTTCGACATGTCAGAAGTAAGCTCTTCTGAAGCTGATGTTTAGTTTGGAGCACGAAGCTTATGCGCTCCGAGCTGTATTCGTAATGTCGACGGGAGGTAACCCAGACGGGCTCGGAGAACTCGACAAGAAACCCAAAGATCTTATTCCGAAGCTCGGCGGGCAGAGTGACGAGGGAATGTTTGCGCGGATCTGCGGGCTTCGAGTTGCCGCCCGATAGTGGTAAGGGGACTATAGGATGAGCCTTAGTGAGGGCGTTGAAGGCAGTCGAACGCTTAGTTGCCATGATGATGGCGTTCGTCGATGTGAAGCGATGTGGTTGAGTGTCGTGGAGTGCGCGTAAAGTGTCAGTCAAAATCTGCAAGTCCTTAAGTATATCCAGGGTGGAGAGAACACATGGGGCTATTCAAAATCACGCCACACTGCAGCCTTGAGTCTTACAACGCAATGGACCGTGCCCTTTGTCTTCCGACGCAGATAGTGGCCCTCACGACTTCACTACCTAGGTACCCAGACGAACGGGAAACCCCAGAGTGAAATCACAACTACGAGGGTTGGGGAATACGCCTTCGAATTGTGTAGGCATCACTAAGTCTCTGTGTTCAGACTGACTCCATTCTTAGATAGCCCAAATGATCGTATGCCCCACGAGGTCGCTCAATCGAAGTGCTGACAGGCGTTGACCAGGTTATAGGAGGTGCGTTTGCAGAAGACGTTGCATCTGCGTGTGGAGTTGCACTGCTCGGAGCGGTGTTGTCGGAGTCTCGGTTACCCATGGCGTGGAGAAGTGAGAGTGTAGTACGCGAATGTATACGGTAGGCGCATGTGTCGAAGCGACGAAATGTAACACTGGATGTATTGTGGACGTTAAAAATTGTGGTGTAGGAGTCAAGAAGCGTGATGTCTTTTTGCTGTTGTTGTTCCTGTTCCGACTTTGCCAGCACCTGCTCGACAACTTCAAAGCGAAGGAAGATGGCTGCGGGTGGAGCTCTTAGATTTCCGGCGATACAGGCGACGAACCCAGCTCCAAAGCCAAATAGATGTGTCGTCTTGCAGCGCCAAGCGCATCGGGATGAGGTGTATTTTGAGTCGAAAAACATGACGGCAAAGTGTGGGACCATGTGGTGGGCATGGATAGTCGTGGATCGGCGTGTTCGTTTCTCCCCGTTCTTGATCATGTGGAGCACGAAATGAAATTTGGTCATTCCCTTTAAGATCTCGTACTTCTTTGCATGACGCCCCGTTGTGTACTTGAGCTTCGGCTGCAACGACTCGTGGTCAGACATCTCTCCGTCCATCATAGTACCCTCATCTGTATTTTCCACCTCTTTCTTTGGCATCTTGCTGTGTGAACGGCGTGACATCTTTCTATCGTCTGTCTCCAATACCGGGACGATGTCACGGAGCTTTTGAACAAGGTTGTCGCTGGAGGGCTTCTCTTCCAGAGGGATCTTGACATCTTCTTCGTTGAATGCAACATCGAACTGGTCGTAGACGTCGTTGAAGCCTGGCAGATGGGCGGTGTCTCGGCTGGCATTGGTAATGGCGGCTGTCAGCGGGTGTGGGGTTCGATTCTCAATATCCCACTGGGGGAAGTATTCCAGATTGAAGTCGGTCAAGAGGAGGGCCGCCCCGACTTGCGCGCCCAGATGTTGCATCTCCATCCTGATAGATTGCATGGGTAGAGAGCATCGCGATTGTTTGGTAGAAATAGTCTTGATCCTTAACCTTCTCTTGGAATTGCTCTAGCTCTGAGTTGCTGACGTTGGTAGGGGCCGTGCAGGTTTTCTGGAGGAAGCCGTGCAGAGCTGAGTTGAGGTCCTGTATATGCCGCAGCCTCGGCACCAGCTCTTCCCGGTAGATGACGGCAGCGTCCTAGCCGATCTGCTTTGCTATGCAACGGAAATGATGACCGTGAGTAGCATGAATGTGCAAACAAGTAGACTGCCCGGTATCGCTGCCAGAAAACCGATTTGGTCACAGAAGGTCTTGCCGACTACGATGAGAGTAAGAGCTCCCCACAACAGGCTGTGCCGACGATGTAGCCTCATCGCCTCACCAAGTAAGAGTATACGAAAACCAATGATATACTGAAGCAAGGCTTGATAGGGCAGAATATATCGATAATTCTAGTTGCTGGTGAGGAAACAATAAAGGCACACACATGTGATTGCCAGTCTTAGTACGTGCACTTTCCGCAGTACCCACAGTCTTCAGCAGAACACGCAGTGTAGTCTGGCTCAGAACCTGAGTCGTCGTCGCCACTGCCAAACCCATACCTTGCATCAACATCGACACCGCCATCATTGTATTCGTCCTCATCCGAAGCATCATCCTGAGTAGAGGAGATATTAGTCTCCGTCTTCTCCCATCTGTCGACCAAGTCTGCAGGCAACGCGTGTACGCCGTCGCCATACTGTTTTCGGATCTCTAGGCGATCCGCTCCGGGGCAATACACTTCGAGCAACTTGTTTGTGCTGCTCTTGGCGATGCCAACGATCTCATTGAGTAGTGTTGCGAAGCGGCGGATGCCGTCTCTATTCTCTCGCACCCAGGCTCGCACATCGCTCTTGACATCTTGTACCTGTATATCTTCGAAAAGGCCATGGCCGTCGTGGTAGGCCACGATGAAGTTGGATATCTGTTTCATCCAGAGCGCCGGGTAGATGTCGGTCATGTCGATAGGTTTCTTGTATTTGCCTGAGCGTGTCTTCAGGTCAAATATGGAGTGATGCGGTATTGCAGATCCGCCGTGTTCGATCTTGAGCTCTTCCAGCTTACCCATCGCGTTGCTCGGCGGACGGCGGACGGCCGATGGCTGCTTGCTGGAATGCTTGCAGAAGCTCATCTTGGTCCCCAGAAGTCTGTTCAGGTGCGAAATGCCGAACTGCAGGGGACTCGTCGATGTAACCATCGCTCTCGAAGCGTACAAGGCAGTCCAAGCCGCTGAACTTGTATCGTACGATGCGCTGGTGTGTCTCGGAGCCTTTGACACTCTGGTCCCATGTGGTGTATGCTTCCGGAAATGTATGACCAAAGCCTCTGATATCCTTGATAACTTCCTTGGGGTCATTCTCTTTTCGTATAAAGAAGACTGTCTCGCCGATGACCTCGATGTTGAACCGGAACGCTTTGTCGATACCACGAGCGAAGCGCAGGAGGTTGCCAAGGGTGCTTCCGCATGCGAAGACATCGGTGTTCGTAGCGTCGAATTCGGGGTCGATCTTCGTAATAGCATGTACGACGGGTGCCATTGGGAAGTCGGGATACTTTGCAGCATTGGGGTCGCGAAAGTACTGTCCGTCGTCTTCCTTCAAACGCTGTGGAGCGTGGAGTGGTGTCCAGCGAGGAGGTTTACCTAAAACTGTCAGCTCCATCTGGTTTGCAGACTACAGCAAGATGAAAGCGTGCAAAGTGGGCGGGCTAATGTCCATGTAGGCACAAAAAGAAGCCTTACCTGGAACGACGATGGTAGGTACTTCGTCGTTGAGCCAGTTGTACGACGCGACATGTTGGCAATTCGATATCTCCGCCGAGTCGATTGGTTTCAGACTCAGATCGGAGCTGCGAAACACTTTCACAGGGTCTCCAAGCGGGTGTGTCTGGAGATCCGGTTTTGGCTGCTCTCTGTTCTTTGCGAAGTGAGGCGCTCTTCCTCCGCGGCCTCGCCCTCTGCGTGGAGCCCAGCCGCCTCTGCCGCTGCCTGAAAACGAAGCCATATTGCGGAAATGTACTGACTAGTTTCGAAATTGTGAATTGCGAGGCTGAGTTATGCGCTGGATGGAAAGCGACACGCCGGCTTCAAGTATGGCATGCTGCCTAGACAAGGCTGAGTTCGTGTGGCGCTGTTTGCTCAACATGCAGGTCGCACAGCGCATGTCTGTAGGCCTCAATTCGTCCAGAGCTCACCAGAACATGCAGGCAGACAAAGATTGATGCCTCGCCGCATAAAAACCTGTGAGTCTCTTCCAATCATTCGCACAGCCCGTTATCAGAGACTCATCGCGCATGCGCTGGGGTCTGGTGCGACCTCCCGGCTACCCATTCAGAAACCTCAAAAGAGCCAAACGCCCCCCTGAGAGCGATAGAATATCGACAGATATCAGCTTGTCTTGATAGATCTTTTCTCAACGGTTCATACTTCACACGATACAAACCTCAAAAATGGCGGACCCAGACGCCGCAAAGCGTGCCACAGGGCTGACGAAGCTCTTCAACGCTATCATCCACGGTCATCGCGAGATTAAGACGGCGGGTGATAGTAATCGATTTTTGGAGGCGTTGTGTGCTCAGGAAGACGCGTCGAAGTGTGTTGAGTGTCTGATCGCGTCTTCGGCAGGGCTAGCGGCCGTCGGCGTTGCCTTCCGCACCACCGGAGATAGCGCGTTCCTCAACGGCTGGGCAACCGCCGTCATCAATCATCTGGCCCAGCCCCCTGTCAAGCAACTCTACGGCGGCCAATTCCTACAGCGCGTCCTCGAACAGATCGTCCAGCCTCCTACATTCTGGAACACCTTCGTGAGCGCGCATGATGGTCACGTGCTTTCCAGCGATGGCACTCGCGCGTTCGCGTGGCTGCTACTCGAGCTGCTATACAGTCGCTCTGAGGACATTCCAGATGTGCGAGATGTCGCAGAACGCGTCACGAAACATGGCACATTCATCAATTCAGATTCGCTAGATATCCGCAACATTGGGCATAAGATCAAGCATGTCCTTGACAGCACATCTGATCAGACCGTCGATGGCCCAGGCGGGCGACACGACAACGATTTTGCGCAAATCCACAAGATCAAGCTCTTACCAACGCCAGATGAATTTGCATCTCGCGAGCATCCATTTTACAGACGCGCTGATTCTATCGTATCTATCACGCCGGAGAGCCGCGGTCTTACCCACGTCGACAACCAATTTCGCCTGCTCCGCGAGGATCTTCTCGGCGAGCTACGTAACGACTTCCAGATTGCTAGTGGTCAGAAGAAAGGGCGACGCAAAGTGGTTCTCGAACATCTGAAGTATGCCGGTATCGACTGTGGACCAGAGACGAGACGCAAACCTTGCTCGCTGCAGCTTTTCTGTCCGGACGATGTTCCTCAGCTGCGCAACGTCAAGGCAACAAGCCGCAAGAAGTTCCTCACCGACAACAAGAACGTCCTGAAGCATCAGTCACTTGGCTGTCTCATTAGCAATGGCAACATTGTTGCATTCGCAACTGTGGACCGTGACGAAGATCTCCTTGCGAAGCAACCTGCTGTTGTCGTGCTGCGAGTGGCCGACGCCAGCTCGTTTGGCAAAGTTCTGATGGCATGCAAGCTCCAATCGGATCTTTGCTTTGTGCAAGTAGATACTGCTGTATTTGCCTATGAGCCTGTCCTGAAATGTCTTCAGGATCTGACTGAACTGCCACTGGAAGACCAGCTTCTCAGTCTTAAGCCAGACTCCGCGGAAACCCCGTCCGGCATCCAACCGACAAAGACTGTCAACGCCATTCGCGACCACTGGGAAGAGGACCTCCAAGATATCATTGGAAGCACTCATCCAATCAAGCTCGACCAGGCCCAAGCAGAATCACTGCTGACTGGGCTAGTCAAGAGAGTCAGTCTGATCCAAGGCCCACCAGGTACTGGCAAAAGTTTCATCGGAGCACTCATCGCAAAGATCTTGCACGATCGTACCAATGAGACGATGCTCATTCTCACTTACACGAATCATGCTCTGGATCAATTCTTGGAAGACATCCAAAAGGCCGGCATTCCTGCTAGTTCGATCGTCCGGCTGGGGTCAAAGTCGAATGCCAACACTCGCGCACTGACCATCAGAGAACAACCAAATAACTACAAGATGACGGGACAAACGTGGACCATGATCCAAGAGCAAAAGTCAGAAGCGGAATCTTATCATGACGCACTAGTCAGGAGGATGACATCCTTTGCGTCCATGCGGCTCAACGAGCAGATGCTCCTCGACTACTTAGAGTTCTCGGATGATTCAGAATACTTCGATGCGTTTGTTGTGCCCGACAGTAAAGACGGTATGACAGTTATGGGGAAAAAGAATAAACGCATCGACAAGTACTACCTAGTCAGGAGATGGGTCAAAGGAGAAGACGCTGGCATCTTCCTCGGTGATGCGATGCAAACCTATCCACACGTTTGGGACGTTCCGCCGCAGACCCGTCTTGGACTCCAGGCGCAGTGGAACAAGACGATACTTGAAGAGCGGGTCGCCGAAATAAGTACACTTGCCCACAAGTACAACAAATGTCGTGCCCAGATCGATCGACTATTCCGCGAGAAGAACTTCCACGTGCTCAGCCAGAGACGCATCATCGGATGTACTACCACAGCAGCTGCTATGTACACTGAAGAGATTCGCAAGGCCTCACCAGGCATTGTTCTGGTGGAAGAAGCTGGAGAGATCTTGGAGAGTCATGTGCTTACAGCTCTAACTCCAACCACGAAGCAGCTCATCCTGATCGGCGATCACAAACAGCTGCGGCCAAAAGTCAGCAACTATGCCTTGACTGTAGAAAAAGGAGATGGCTACGATCTCAATGTCTCTCTGTTCGAACGTCTAGTGCTAAGCGGAGTTCCACACACCACGCTCAGCAAGCAGCATCGTATGCGCCCTGAGATCTCGTCCCTCGTTCGATCACTCACATATCCGGAGTTGGAAGACGCAGAGAAGACTCAAGGTCGACCGAACTTACGTGGTCTTCAAAGCAACGTTATATTCGTGTCACATTCGCGCCCTGAGCTCAACGCCGTCCAGATTGCCGACAGCCGCGATGGAGGTGCTAAGTCCAGCAAGGAAAATCTGTATGAGGCCGAGATGGTATTGAAATGCGTGCGATACCTCGGTCAGCAAGGCTACGGCACGGAAGATATTGTGGTACTGACACCCTACCTGGGTCAACTATACCTGTTGATGAACACTCTGTCTAAGGACAATGACCCCATTTTAAACGATCTGGATTCCTACGAGCTCATCAAAGCGGGTCTGATGACGCCGGCTGGCGCGAACATTTCCAAACGCAAGCTTCGCATTTCAACTATCGACAACTATCAAGGTGAAGAGAGCGATATCGTAATCGCATGTCTCACACGCAGTAACGATACTGGGGATATCGGTTTCATGTCGTCTCCTCAGCGAGTCAACGTGTTGCTATCACGAGCGCGAAACGGTTTGATCATGATCGGCAACGCAGACACTTTTATGAACAGTCGCAAAGGCAAGGAAGTATGGGTACCGCTTATGGACCAGCTGAAGCGAGACGGCCATGTCTACGACGGCTTTCCTGTCAAATGCGAGCAGCATCCCGAAAAGACCGCGCTTCTGACTGAGAAGGAACAATTCGATACGGTGTGTCCAGACGGCGGCTGCTCTGAACCATGTGGCAAACTACTCAACTGCGGACTGCATGCTTGTCCCCGTCAATGTCATCAGTTGCAAGACCATTCACGAATGGATTGCAATGTCATCATCTCCTCAACATGCCCTAGTAAGCACAAGACCACTCGAAAGTGCCATGACAAGGCGCCAGCTCACTGTCGGAAATGTGAAGCCGAAGTGCGAGCCAAGGAAAAGAAGCGGCAACGCGACCACGAGCTAGACGAACAACGAGAGGCCAAACAACGTGCATATGCCGCTCGTTTAGTCGAGATTGAGGAAGAGATGGAGCACCAGAAGCGCCTTCTGAAAGAGCAGGCCGAGGAAAGAGACCGCCAGCAAGCGCTGGAGCAGAAGAAGCAAGATCTTCGCAACCTGCAAGAGAGGGTCAAGAAATCCAAAAACGCTCCAGTGCCAGCACCTTCGACATCTACTACTACGCCGGTCCCACCATCCGATACTGCCAAACAACAAGGCGATAAACCAGCGCCAAGTACAACGACTGATCACCGTGACGATACCCCGACCAATGACGAATCCACGTCGTCAGATTCGGACGAGGACCAGCCTGATTGGGACAAGAGCGAAGCCAGAGATGATTGGGAATGGCAGAAGAAATTTGAGGGTGCGGAAAACGAAGCTCTCGACTCTCTGGTACCTATGATAGGGCTAGAATCCGTCAAGCAGCAGTTCCTCGCGATCAAAGCTAAAGTTGATACGGTCGTACGTCAGGGCGTATCACTTAAGGGGGAGCGTTTCGGTGCTGCCCTGCTAGGCAACCCTGGAACAGGAAAGACGACGGTGGCTAGGCACTACGCTAAGTTTCTGGTTGAGGTAGGAGCTTTGCCTGGTGGCCATTTCATTGAGAGCTCCGGATCAGCTCTTGCGAACGATGGTGTGTCCGCTTGCAAAACCCACATCAACGACATACTCCAAGCAGGAGGTGGTGTGTTCTTCATCGATGAAGCATATCAATTGGTATCTGGAAACAGTCCCGGCGGCAAAGCAGTGCTGGACTACCTGCTTGCTGAAATGGAGAACTTGACTGGCAAAGTCGTATTTGTTCTCGCAGGCTACCACAAGCAAATGGAAGCCTTCTTCTCCCACAACCCTGGCATTCCGAGCCGCATACCAATCCGAATGGAGTTCCAGGACTACGAAGACCGCGAGCTACAACAAATCTTCTGCCAGTACATTGACAAGAAGTACTCCGGACGCATGAAGATCGAAGACGGCATGAAAGGCCTTTACGTACGTATCGTTGCGCGGCGCATTGGTCGTGGTCGCGGCCGCGATGGCTTCGGTAACGCCCGCGAAGTCCAGAACAAGA